CAATACTATTTCTTACTCTTCTCATGATGCAGCAACTCAAAATTGAGTTTCTTAGCTTCTAATACACTTTTAAGTGACATCTTTGCTTATCATCCTAACTTTAAGTTACTAAGCCAAATATGCTCAAAATTAGTTTCTCATGCTACCCAACCATTCTCAGTCAGGACCCCAATTAAAATTCTCATTTGAATTCTGCATTCTTTTAGGTGTAGTTCTACATTATTTTCAAGAGTTGCCTAACTGCGTTTCATACACGCATTTTTAATTACTTGCCATAAGTCAAAGCAAAGGTTTTTAGAACTCAATTTAGTAATTGTTATTGAAAAAAGGTAAGAAACTTAATGGAGAAATCTAACTGAGGAACTCGAATAGGTAAGATTATAGTTAAGAAGATTACTCTTTTGGAGACTATCGCAAGAAGCAATGAATTCGAATATTTCCCATAGAGCTTACAACTTCCTTCAAACATGAAATTTTTCAAAATAACATAATTTCATCTGTTAGGGTAAATGAAATGAAAAGTTGTGTAAGTTACGACTCTATTTAAAATAAAATTATATTTTTTTCAAGAAAAATATATTGGATCTGATTATAGCACTTAATATAAATGATTGTAAATTATTATAGTGAAATTACTTATTTTTCATTCAATGAAAAAAATTAATGTTTTTGTGTTGGAGGTAATTTAGTCTTTTTAATGACTTATTGATCATTAAAAGATTATTAGTGGATGCATATGTCTATGTCAAAAATACTTAAATAGTAAAATGATACATTTACTTTTAAAATAAAAAAATAAAATTGTTGATGAATGATTTTTCAGTCTTCTCGTATCTTACAATACACTAAAAAAAATTAGATACAAAAAAATAAAATAAAGCATACATAGGGGCATTTTAGTCCTTTTATACATTTTTTTTTTTGAATCCTAGATTTGTGGAAGGTATTTTGGTTATTTTATATTGGATAATTAATTTTCTATTAAAAATATTGTTGGTGTGTGCTCATCACATGTCAATATGCGAGAGGTGTTCATGTTTTTTGGATAGTACATGTAATGTTTTTCGATGATTAAACTTGTTCTTCAACTATGTCGTTTGAAGCTTCATCATGTTCTATTACTCTTAATGCGTTCATTTTTTATTTCATCATTTTTTAATATTTTTTTTTAAGATTGGCTTTGTGATTATTTTTAACTTCTTTTCTATTAGTTTATCATAATCTCATGATCTAAACTATAGGTTTTATAGGTTTTTATTGAATAAATATTTTTCAAAAAATTATTTTGTGTGTATTGTATTTAATTTTTGAAGATATTATTTAAATTTATCTATAATTTTCTTTTAGTTTTATATATATGAACTTTATTTTTAAGAATAAATTTTTTTATTTTTGGATAATATTTCTAACATGTTCTGTCTTATATAATACTATTTTTTTATTCAATTAATTTTATATGTGTGTTTATTTATATTATTGTTTGATTCAATAAAAAATTAATTTTAATAAATAAATTCAGTAAATACCAGGTAAATGTTCCATGCGAAGTTAAATATCTTAATTTACATTTATCTTTCAATTTTTTCAGTTTTATTTTTAATTATGGTTATTTTTTTTCATATATATATATATATCAATTTATTTAATTAAATATTTATATAAGCTTTTTTATTTATATTTAAAACAATTGTGTAAAAAGACATCAAAATAGTCAACATATCCAAAACATTGTGTAAAAAGACACCAAAATAGTCAACATGTCCAAATTTTTTTTGAAAACAAATAATATACAATTTGCAGTGCAGTAGGGCAAAATAGCTAGTTTAAACTAATCTAGCTCCATCTAAACCATGTTCAAAAAATCTGGTCTCACTTAGGAGAATTGTCTTTGCTTTAATCCCATACATTTTCTAAGAATCCCATTGCCTTGGGTGATTATATAATTGAAAATTACGATACTTCTCGAACAAATTAAATTTTATAAAAAAAAACACATAATATCTTTCAAAAACTTATTAAAAAATTTGAATTTAATATGTCAAAATTTTATTATTATCAAGTTTTAAATTAAATTAAATAGAAATTGATTTAATGCGTGTTTGGCGGTTGTGGCTACATTTACATAAAAACATCATTGTCATATGTTTGGTAACAATATAAATAAACATTCTGTTTGTGGGACTCATGAACATCTATAGTTCATTTGCAAGACAATCATAAGCAACCTGAAGTTGCTTTTTGTGCTGAGTTGCAAACTGTGTTTATAAACACAACAAACAAAGACACCGAAGAAGAATAACATAAACAAAGCACAATGGAGAGTAGCCTCCTTAGCTCACCACCATCGGCTTCCACCATTTCCACCATCAGCCACTACTCTTTTTCTTTCTCTTCTTCATTGTCTTTTGTATTCTCTAGTGTCTAAAGAAGGACAAAAACAAAGCACAATAAAGCATAATAAAGGAAAGCTCACCATCGACTTTTGTCGTTTCCATCACCAGCCATTGCTATTTCTCTTTCTCTTCCTTTTTTCCTTCCCCTTTTCCTTCTTATTCATCTTCTACATGCTCCATCATTCACGTTGCATGTGAATAGTAGACAACATCTTTACTGTCGGATCAAATTTGGCCCAAATCTAAATACTCAGTATCTGGATCCAACCTAGTAAAATAAAAAAATCCAAAAACAATTCTCAAATATTATATTTTATTTGAAAAACTAGTATTTGATATTATTCAAGGACACTACATAATTATATTAAAAGGATATCGCATGAAGACATAACATTTGCATAATTTGATTGCAATTCCAATTTTATTTCTAATAATATTTTACTTGATATTGTTACACACTTAAAAAACCATGAAAATTATAATCCTTGTTGGTTAGATTTTGTACGTGATGGAATTACAAATAGTTTAATAGAATAATAAAAAAAAATTATATAAAGTATTGTTTATTTCATGATATAATAGCAATAGTTAAATGTATCATATTTTAATTAAAAATTATCAATATTAATACATGTCTCTTTTAGTTATTTTATGACCTCAATTTTAAAAATATTTTTAATTAAATATATTAAACTATTTTTTGTTCAATTTTAATTTCAACCACAGTTTTAACCAAATATATATTTTTCCAAACTAATCTTAACAAAAAGTATTTTTTATAAAATAATTTTTTTCAAACTAAAACCATAACAATTTTAGTTAAAATTCAATTATTTTTTTAAATTAAAAAAATATTATTTTAAATAATTAAATAAAATTTAATAAATTTACCTCATACAAGTAATTTTTCTCTGTATCCCCTCTATCAATCTTTTTCCACTAGTGTATGAGATTATTCCAAAACATTATTGTAGACCCGGTAAGATTATTACATTAAAAACTTATTTATTTTTATATTTTAAAAGAATTTTTTTAAAAAAAATAATTTTTTTTATTTTTTCATTTACTTTAAATTAATATTTTTTTAATCTTTTTAGATTATTTTAATATGTTAATTTTAAAAATAATTTTTTAAAAATAAAATAATATTATTTTTATATATTTATAAATAAAAATACTTTAAAAAATAACCATACCCTAACCTATAAATTCAAAAGATAAAAAGGTCAACTTATCATTAAGGGATATGTGAGATCCAACTACTTTAAATACGTAATTGTATTCACCACAACCAATTAAAGGATAAGAAGACTTTTACTTATCCAATAAGGCAAACACAGAAAAGAAACAAAAACACTCAGCTGCACCACAGCACAAGACAGAAAAACTTACACCTTCACATGCATGGATGCCACGTGTGGAGTCAATGATAAAGTAGCAAATTTGGACTTGACTTAGTCTCCTTTCCCTCACGCAACGGCTACGCGCACGAATCCCTTACCGTGCACTGGAAAAACAATTAGAACAACCCTTCCCCTTTTCTCGCTATCTATATTTCTTAAAAATAAATAAATAATTTTGATCCATCTCCTTCTCTCTCATTTTTTCCCTCTCTCTCTAAAAACTGAACCTATTTTAATTAAAAATTATCAATATTAATACATGTCTCTTTTAGTTATTTTATGACCTCAATTTTAAAAATATTTTTAATTAAACATATTAAACTATTTTTTGTTCAATTTTAATTTCAACCACAGTTTTAACCAAATATATATTTTTCCAAACTAATCTTAACAAAAAGTATTTTTTATAAAATAATTTTTTTCAAACTAAAACCATAACAATTTTAGTTAAAATTCAATTATTTTTTTAAATTAAAAAAATATTTTTTTAAATAATTAAATAAAATTTAATAAATTTACCTCATACAAGTAATTTTTCTCTGTATCCCCTCTATCAATCTTTTTCCACTAGTGTATGAGATTATTCCAAAACATTATTGTAGACCCGGTAAGATTATTACATTAAAAACTTATTTATTTTTATATTTTAAAAGAATTTAAAAAAAAATAATTTTTTTATTTTTTCATTTACTTTAAATTAATATTTTTTTTATCTTTTTAGATTATTTTAATATGTTAATTTTAAAAATAATTTTTTAAAAATAAAATAATATTATTTTTATATATTTATAAATAAAAATACTTTAAAAAATAACCATACCCTAACCTATAAATTCAAAAGATAAAAAGGTCAACTTATCATTAAGGGATATGTGAGATCCAACTACTTTAAATACGTAATTGTATTCACCACAACCAATTAAAGGATAAGAAGACTTTTACTTATCCAATAAGGCAAACACAGAAAAGAAACAAAAACACTCAGCTGCACCACAGCACAAGACAGAAAAACTTACACCTTCACATGCATGGATGCCACGTGTGGAGTCAATGATAAAGTAGCAAATTTGGACTTGACTTAGTCTCCTTTCCCTCACGCAACGGCTACGCGCACGAATCCCTTACCGTGCACTGGAAAAACAATTAGAACAACCCTGCCCCTTTTCTCGCTATCTATATTTCTTAAAAATAAATAAATAATTTTGATCCATCTCCTTCTCTCTCATTTTTTCCCTCTCTCTCTAAAAACTGAACCCTCTCTCTCTCTCTCTGTGGCGTCGTTTTGTGCTTTAACGCCTTTTAAGCGTTTCCGTTTCACTTCATGGCATTTTGTTTCTCTTCTTTCTCTCAGGTCATTATCTCACTCCATTTATTTATTTGTTTATTTTTTCTATTTGTGATCGTGTAAAATATTTTTAAATAATTAAATAAAATTTAATAAATTTACCTCATACAAGTAATTTTTCTCTGTATCCCCTCTATCAATCTTTTTCCACTAGTGTATGAGATTATTCCAAAACATTATTGTAGACCCGGTAAGATTATTACATTAAAAACTTATTTATTTTTATATTTTAAAAGAATTTTTTTAAAAAAAATAATTTTTTTTATTTTTTCATTTACTTTAAATTAATATTTTTTTTATCTTTTTAGATTATTTTAATATGTTAATTTTAAAAATAATTTTTTAAAAATAAAATAATATTATTTTTATATATTTATAAATAAAAATACTTTAAAAAATAACCATACCCTAACCTATAAATTCAAAAGATAAAAAGGTCAACTTATCATTAAGGGATATGTGAGATCCAACTACTTTAAATACGTAATTGTATTCACCACAACCAATTAAAGGATAAGAAGACTTTTACTTATCCAATCAGGCAAACACAGAAAAGAAACAAAAACACTCAGCTGCACCACAGCACAAGACAGAAAAACTTACACCTTCACATGCATGGATGCCACGTGTGGAGTCAATGATAAAGTAGCAAATTTGGACTTGACTTAGTCTCCTTTCCCTCACGCAACGGCTACGCGCACGAATCCCTTACCGTGCACTGGAAAAACAATTAGAACAACCCTGCCCCTTTTCTCGCTATCTATATTTCTTAAAAATAAATAAATAATTTTGATCCATCTCCTTCTCTCTCATTTTTTCCCTCTCTCTCTAAAAACTGAACCCTCTCTCTCTCTCTCTGTGGCGTCGTTTTGTGCTTTAACGCCTTTTAAGCGTTTCCGTTTCACTTCATGGCATTTTGTTTCTCTTCTTTCTCTCAGGTCATTATCTCACTCCATTTATTTATTTGTTTATTTTTTCTATTTGTGATCGTGTAAAATAGGAACGAATTTGAGTCTTTTTTTTTTTTTGGAGATTTAATTGGTTAATGCAATTGTTATTGCTTTTTTTTTTATATATATATATAATTTTGAAATGTAATTTGTTCTTTTTTATAAGATTTAATTTTTCTTAATTAATGTGATTCTAATTGTAATCGAAGATCAAAGCTAGATGATTTGATTTTTTTTTTTTTTAGATTTCTATTTTTGAACAGTAATTCCTGAGAATTCTGAGTCTTTGGTTTTTAGATTTTATGTACTTTTGATTTATCAATTAATCAACTTAATTATTATTGAATTAGATGATTTTTAAATTTTTTTTTTGAATTTGTATGATAATTTATGAGATTAGGTTAATAAATGTAATTTAGGTTTGGTTTTGCTTGTGTTTTAAGCTATTTAAGTTTCCTAATTTTTTTGTCTTTGGATTGTTTTGCAGGTTAAGTTCCTGAATTAGAAATGATTTGAGTAAATGTAAATATTAGAGGGATTAAATTATAACAAAGTGCATTATAGAGGAAAATTATTAATTCAGTCATCATTGTTGTTGTTGTTGTTTGTATAATTGTGATTAAGGAGAGAGGTGTGTAGTAATTTTGTTGAAGAAATGGGGTATTTGAATTCAGTTTTATCATCTTCAAGCCAAGTTTATGCTGATGATACACCAGTAAGCGGTGGCGGTCTCAGGTTTTTCTTAATTATATCTGCCTTGTCTTTGATAGATCCGTAAAACTAATGTTTTGGTTTGGTTTGGTGCAACCAATGATGAATTGTGTGTATTTGGTAGTATGTTGTTGTTTATGGCATGAGTTATTGCTTTGTTGTTGTTTTTTTGTTGATTAATATTTGATTGTAACTGGCAAGTATCTTACGAGTTCTGGCTATGAGATCCTTATATATGACTGATGATTAATGTCCAATTGTGAAACCTTTTTTTTTTCTTTTTTTGAACATGTAATTTGGATTAAGATAGTCTTGAAATTAATGAATATACAAAGCCCGCAAATTTGGAAAGGTGTATCATATATTCTGTTGATATTTGGTTCTTTGGTTGATTTTACAGCTGCTTGATTATTCTCTGTGATTTTTTTTGCATGTCATTTTCAATGCATCGGTAACGTGCAAAATGAGAGTAATACAACTTAAATCTCAGTTTTGTCATGTTTGATCTGTAACTTGCCTTGAAAGAAGCATGCTAGAAAGTCTTGATTACCTCTTTTATGGATCTGACTTTACTAGATTTGTCGTGTTGGATATGCCAGTGTGTGGTGGAATGAGTTGTTATGTTCTCGCTCACTCTTGTACTTAACTTCTGGAATCCCACAAGACATTTTTTATGAACTTTCCTAATTAATTATCATGTCATGTGGTTTTGACTATTTTGTCTCAGACATGTGATTTAATACTATGAACGTACAGAAACAAGATGCTTTAAAATTTTGAAATATAGGAAATAGAACTTTTAACTCGAGTATTATTGAATTTTTGTAACCAGCATTTCTTGCTACTCTCCCATTTGTTTTTCTTTTTTAACATTAATCGAGAAGTGGCATTCATGTAAGCCATTTGTGATGTGCTACATAATTCTAAGGATCTCATTTTGCATCTCAAAGATTACTTCTCCTCTTCCTCTGCCCTGATTGTCTTCCTAAGTTCACAAGATTTGTCTTGATTTGAAATGTTTTTTGCAACAGTCAGAATGGAAAATTCAGTTATGGATATGCAAGCTCTCCAGGGAAGAGATCTTCCATGGAAGATTTTTATGAGACAAGAATTGATGGTGTTGATGGAGAGATAGTTGGTCTTTTTGGAGTTTTTGATGGTATTCCTCTTATGCTCTGTGTTTCTTCATGTAGACATACATAGCAAGATTACGAGGCCATTTGGAACTGTATTCCAAACAGCGTTTCACTAAATTTTGAATTTTTTTCGCTTAAAAGTAATATTTTTTTAATGTTTTTGGATCTTTTTGATATGCCAATATCAAAAATGATTTTAGAAAAATTAAAAAAATATTATTTTGATGTATTTCTGAACAAAAAACACTTTGAAAAGCAATTGCTATCACACTCCCAAACACTATCTTCATTTTCAGGATTGTGTAATGCAATAGAGATATGACGAGGGGAACTTTCCACTAAATGCATGATGCAGCAATGTTAGTTTGATTAGTAACTATAGCATCCTACTTGCCACTAATCTCAGTAATTGTTGGTGTGTGACAGTTATTAGCCATGCAAGCTTCTTGTCTGATGCTGTGATTCTCCATAAATACCTTTTGCAACCTCTTGGGTCCATGTTCTCCTTTACATGCCATATGGTGCATTATTTTCTATCACTGACATGTTGTATCCTCAACTAAAGAAGTATCTAGAAAAAAATGAGACCATCATGCTTTCACTGACATGTTGCATCCTCACTAAAGTAGTCACTAGACATAATTGAACTATCAAGTCTTCACTTATGCTGAGGTGGTCCACACCACTTTGTTATGCCATTATTTAGGTCAATGATTAATCATGCCTTCTGTTTTTTTGTATTGTTGCTAGCTAGTTGAAGCGTAATATAATCATGGCATATTTTTTGCAAGAATTTTCCTTTTCAGATTTAAGTGATAATGAAGCAAACTTTTCTGTTATGGGTTTTCAGGTCATGGAGGTGCACGAGCTGCTGAATATGTGAAACACAACCTTTTTAGCAATCTGATCAAACATCCAAAATTTATTTCTGACACCAAATCAGCTATAGGTATCTCATTTCCTTAGTGCCAATGTTCCTTTTTTATTTTTTTATAAGTTATAATTCCTCATTTGAAGAATCCGATGTTTAATTTGGAATTGCTCTCTCTTTTGGCAGTTGATGCTTACAATCACACAGACTCTGAATTTCTGAAATCAGAAAATAATCAGAACAGGGATGCTGGATCAACTGCTTCTACAGCTATTCTTGTTGGTGATCGTTTGCTTGTTGCTAATGTTGGAGATTCCAGAGCTGTCATTTGCCGGGGTGGTAATGGTGAGACTCACAATAGTTGTATAACCATCTGTAACTTCTAGGGTCATTTTCATTTTTTTTGAACACGTGATGCATTTTATAAAATCGCTACCACCAGTTTGCTTTTTTTTTTTTTTTTTAAGTTGGCTATTGCCAAGAATTCCAAACAAAAGATTCAATTCATAGTCATCTGAGACTGTCTAAAGAAATGATATAGCATAAGGCCACATTGCTGTTGTCAAGAATTAGAAAGAATAATGCAGAAGCAGAAATGATGGCTGAAGTAGAATCTTGGTTATATGAGTAGGTATCACTTCACTTGTTATTTGGAAGCCTTAATACAAATCAATGTGAACCTTTAAGATGCATACAAAATCTTTCTTTGAAATTTGAAGAGCTCAATCTGTGAGCTTTAGTTGTAGTCCCAGAGTGTTTTTTTTTTTTTAAGAGATAACCACTAGGGCAAAAGATTTGCCCATTGTAAAGTTCTATAGCTTGGGTTTGATTATTGATGGAATAAAAGTGTATGCTATGGTAAGATGCAATTTATGAAGTTCAAGAAAATTTAGTATTGGCCTTCTAAAGCAGGACAATGACAATGAAGCAATACAGATAAAGAGAAAACCAGATGCTTTGGGATGGAGCATTATAGATGATTTTTTTATTACTGGGGTGTTGACTGTTTATTTATTAATAATTAAGTCATTAAACTATCTTGCCATTTTCTTCAGCTATTGCTGTTTCCCGAGATCACAAGCCAGATCAGACTGATGAACGACAGCGGATTGAAGATGCTGGAGGATTTGTCATGTGGGCAGGTAAGGACTTCACCCAGCCTTTTGTTTTATGTACTTACTGAAAGCTTTTAAGCGATAAATTCTTATGATGACTGAAAACATAATGATAGGTACTTGGAGAGTTGGTGGTGTCCTAGCTGTCTCTCGTGCATTTGGTGATAGGCTTTTGAAGCAGTATGTTGTTGCTGATCCAGAAATCCAGGTCTGATTCTTAATCTATTCAAAGAGCAAGGGATGTAGGAAGAATGGTTAACAGTATTCAAATTAAGATATATCTTAAAATGATAAATCTTCCAAATTTTTGAGTCTCATTGCTCGTGAGCACATATATGCTAAAACCTAGATGTTTACAGTGGCGTGTTTTGGAGATAGTCATTTATCTGCAGATGCTTGAATATTGCTGAAGTGTCATTGCATTTTAGAGTTCTTGAGCCTTTGATTGCTTTTCTCCTCTCCATCTCACTTTTGAGCATGTTTTAGCCACTGACATTCTCATGGAAACTGTAGGAGGAAAAGGTTGACAGGTCCCTTGAGTTTCTCATCCTTGCAAGTGATGGATTATGGGACGTTGTCACAAACGAGGTTTGGAACAATGTCTTTTTGTTTCCTTTATGCTTTTATATCACGGGGTGTACTGGTTTCCTGTATTCTTTCTTGCAAATGATCTGGTGGAAAGTGGCCTTCAATGCAATTTAATAAGGTTTTTTGCTTGTGAAAATAAAAACAAAGGATTGTGTTTTGCTGCTGCCATCACCATCTGATGCTTCATCCTTTCTCCTCAGGAAGCTGTTGAAATGATCAAGCCTATCACGGACCCAGAGCAGGCAGCAAAGAGGTTGTTGCAGGAGGCGTACCAGAGAGGAAGTGCAGATAACATCACCTGTGTTGTCGTTCATTTCCTGGGCAATCAAGGCGCTACATCTCATGGTGGCTCTGTGTGAGCGTGCTGAACTGGTGCTATGCTAGGTTTTTATTCTGACCTAAGTATAAATATGGCCAACATTAAATCATGCGGTGCAAAGCCAATCATGATGATAAATAGCATCGTATTATTTTCAAGGATAGATAGATGATAGAAGTCAATTTGCTGCCAAAGTGTATTGCATGCTTTAGCTTACATAATCGTGTCTTGAGGTAGCTAGAACTGTGCACTTGTATGTCTGAAGTCTTACGTTTTATCCATTTCATCCGTCTGCTGTAAATGTGGCTCGACACTCGTTTTCTTTCTCTTGCTAATTGCATATCTGTTTCGGTTTTGCTCTGCTGCCCATCTGAAGCCTCTTGCTCTTTCCCGGTCGCGCGTGGGGTCGTAAACCTGTTATCCATTGTTGAATTGAATGAGTTTATGCTGCCAAAAAAATACCAGTTAGAGGATGCCTCTTCCTTTATGCCATGAAAAGTCTGTGATAGGCAGTTCAAAGCGGAGGAGAAAAGGCCAGTTGTTCTGGACTTGCTAGCTAAAAATTTAATTCCTCAGCTTCATTTTCCTCCCCAGCATAAAATCATTTTAATACTATTTATCCAATTTTAGTGTTTGGAAAGCTTTAAGCAACATAAATTAAAAAAAAAAAAAAGTGTGGTTTGCTTCTGAATTGACCGTTACGGTTTAATTTCGGCTTCAAATAAGCTGCTGATGATGATACCACTTCCACCATGTTGGACCTCAACTGGGAAGGAAAACGAAAAATAACATCAATGTAATTAAGTATGGCGTGAACTCAATGCTTTATGGCAAGAAGAAAAGAGGGCGTGCGTATTGCTGCTTCAGTGTGATTATAAATTATTATAAATTATAGTTGTTTTTTAAATAATTTTTTATATTGAAATAATATTTTTTTATTTTTTAAAAATTATTTTTAATATCAACTTATTAAAATAATCTAAAACATATAAAATATATTAAATTTTAATAAAAAAAATTTAAATTTTCTAAAAACACGATTTGCACCGTGTTTGATGGCGAAGAGAGGACTCAGAACAGAAGTAGGCTCGGCAAGGCAAAATCTTGCCATTGCGACCGGCGAGCGAACATATATAGTATCATCATCGTCCTCCTCTTATATGACAGCTCACAACAATTGACGAAAAACACACACACACACAGGGAGAGACAGAGAAGCTGATAGAGAGAGCAAATCAGCTGCAATTGTGAAGGGCCAAGAGGAACCTGTTTAATTTATAGGCATGAAGCGTGGGTAATGCTGCCTAGTTTTATGAGATAAAGAGAGGACTCAGAACATCAGTAAAGCAGGCTCGGCAAGGCAAAATCTCGCCATTACGTCCGGCGAGCGAACATATATGGTATCATCATCGCCCTCCTCTTATATGATAGCTCACAACAATTGAAGTAAAAAAAACACACGCAGAGAGAAAGAGAGAGAGAAGCTGACGTCCTCCTCTTATATGACAGCTCACAACAATTGACGAAAAACACACACACACACAGGGAGAGACAGAGAAGCTGATAGAGAGAGCAAATCAGCTGCAATGGTGAAGGGCCAAGAGGAGCCTGTTTAATTTATAGGCATGAAGCGTGCGTAATGCTGCTTAGTTTTATCTTAGTTTTATGAGATAAAGAGAGGACTCAGAACAGCAGTAAAGTAGGCTCGGCAAGGCAAAATCTCGCCATTACGTCCGGCGAGCGAACATATATGGTATCATCATCGCCCTCCTCTTATATGATAGCTCACAACAATTGAAGTAAAAAAAACACACGCAGAGAGAAAGAGAGAGAGAAGCTGACAAAGAAAGCAAATCAGCTGCAATGGTGAAGGGAGAAGAGGAACATCTTTAATTTATAGGCATGAACTTCCTAGGAGGACAGTGCCTCCAGGTTATTTAATTGCGAGCTGGAGGTCTTTTTTATGAATTCTTTGCCTTGCTCACCAAGGGTTTAATAATTAATTATATATAAAGTGTACAAGCACATGAGCGTCTGCCTAATACTGGTCACAAAACGACTAATGCTATGCTTGCTAACCAAGGCATGAATAACGTGGGGGAAAAAATAGTGATTTTAGCTATTAGTTGGAGAATGAACATTTCTTTATTATTAAAATATTCTTTAACCATATTTTATGCATTAAAAATTAGTACTAAATTCTATTTTATCTAGTTTCTAGCATACCACTAGTTTGAATATCTGCACTATATTTAAGTTTTTTAAATATAAAAAATAGTCTCAAGAATTTTTTTAGTATTTTCGTCAAAATCTAAAATATAATAGTTTTGGTTTTTTTCATTAAAATAATTTTTTTAATGTATCTCTTGTTTATCTTACCCAACATAATATTTTTTTTAATGAAATCATTATTTATATCTAAAAATAAAATAAAAACCAAATAAAAAAAAGGGAAAAATAAAAAAGAAAGCAAAGGGGTAGACCTAATACCCAGCCCATTAGTAGTAGACCAGGCGCCCAAGACCATGCTTCAATTTGTTTTTTTGTATTGAGAGGGGTGGGCGGGACGACATGTCATCGGCCACCAGTTAGCAAACATGCATGCTCCTAGTTGGATACAAACCAAGGGCTCACAGTGATTTGATTTGATGACCTCACATGTGTCTCACGTGCGCTAACTACTCTCACTCCAACACGGAATTGGTATGAGATAATTAAAAAAATATATTACGGTGTTTTACTGTTCATATGAATAGTAAAAAACTGTAAAAAACCGCAGTCTTCTTGGAGTGTTCTCGTAGGTAATTTACACCTAGTGGGAAAATCTCTTCTTGCAACTTGCTCTAAAATTCGAATATAAACAAACTTAATTTTAAGATTTTGTATGTTTTTGCAAAAAAAAAAATTGTTTATGTTTTAAAAAAATTTATAATATTTTTGAATTATTTTAATATGGTAAAATCACAAGAAGTTGTAGATCTTTTACACCATTAAGCTAAATTATTGTCACAATCAAGTTTTAAAATATATTCAGGATTGGTTTGATGGTTAAAGATTTAAAAAGGTATATTCATTTTCTTGACTTTCTAGCTTTAAGCTCAAAATACACCGAGATAATGATGGAGATGCATTCTTAAAATTATTTATAAAAAAATTAATTTTAATTAATGTATAAAATATATAAAAATACTTTTTATCATCGAATCATGTTATCAATGATAATTGAACTTGAGAAACTTGAGAAGTTTCTCTAAAAATCAAACTTCAAAATTATTTATTTTTTATATTTATTTCCCATCTATTATATTTTCTTAATTAATATAAATATCCGTACTAGTTTATACTTGCGTTTGCTAATCCTGCATTCTCTAAAATTAAAAACAATATAAATCTTTATTATTATTTTCTCATAAAAAAATATATTTAAAAAAAAGCAACAAATTCCACAATATACCACACATGCACTAAATGCCGACACGAACACAAACATAGAACTTGAAACGAGAAGAATCTGCTTTTCAAACATCTTTATTGAATTGTACTATGATGTTTTTTCATGATCTTCGTTGTTTACAAAGGCATGGTCCCTATCTACCCACCCGTGACCATTTTAGCAGGGAAGATGTCGAGTGGTATTAGGGCTAGTCGTTCCGAGCACAGATGTTGAAGTCCTGTTTAGTGGGCTTAAATGGCACAAAGAAGAGCTCTGCGAGCTCTGGCTAGACCTTCAAAGAAGCCATTTGAACGACATTAAATCCAAATCTTCTTCAGGAAAATGTTGAGCAAAATTATTACAGCTCTTCTTCGTTTCCTAGTGTTTTTGTGTGCAAGTGCTTGGCTAGTGAATAGGCAGTGACACTTGTTATGGGTTTTTGTTCTGTCCTTGGAATCGTATTAGCACGATAGAAACCACCGTTTCAAGGTTAGGGTTCGAGGGATTACTCCGGCCTCCTCTTCTATTAATTTTCTTATTTCAAGACTCAAAATTCTTACTAAAAGAAGATTTGAATCCATGACTCTTCTCATGAGTTGGGATCATATTGGTCAAAATTTGGTTATAGTTGGAAGCTTGTATAATTTTTGCATGGAGAGTCTTGGCTGCTGCTGCTGCTGCTTCTTCTTCTTCTTTTGTGTGTTTGTGTTAGTGGTGAAATTTGTGGTTTGGATATGGGATCCACTAAAAAACCTAAGAAAAGTAGAAAATATTAACTTTTATGGTTGAGTTTTGTGTATAAATAAATTATACCCAACCATAACCTCAACCACAAAAATTAAATCAAACACTCCCAAATTTATATAGTATGGTGTGTGTTTCGATTTAATATTTTTTATAATAGTTTTGCACGAATTTCATAGAAAACTCCCTTAAAATTTTAATTAAAAAAATTATTATTTATATTTTTTTAATTTATTTTTTAAAAATGTAATTACAGAAACTATCGAATAAATAAAATTTCATGCCTATACCTAACCTGATGATAAAGAGAGTATGGAAAATAATAATTGATTTGTTGCTGGTAGTTGGCAAAATGCAACTATTAAATTTTATAATAAATAAGAAAAAGTTGACCAATATAATCCATTTAAGAATTTCATTATTTTTTTAATTTAAATGATTTTATTTTGACTATTGTTTTAAGTTAATCTGAGTTAATCATAAGCATGAGTTATGGATCTACCTCCCATGGAGTTTAAGAACCGTGATAGATAAAGCTCGAGCCATAATTAATGCAATCATTTACTTCAGGGCATTCTTTGAAATTTCAGCGAGCAATCGACACACGCCACCAGAGAGATTGATACAATGTCCATATCAACTACAAGGAACCTGCAAATTCGGAGACTAGTTTAATCACAAAGACTGTCCAAAACCATCGAATCCTGATTCGCCATCTGTGAAATCAAGAGATGATTTTCTTCATCCCCATGATCTGATTACTTTATCAAGAAAATAACTTGCTTCCACCCATAAGATCAGTGATACTGATTTTGCCTCCTAAAATATAAAGAAAAAACTGTTCTTCCACATTCTTAAATTACTTCTTTAATCACATCAAAACAAAAGCTTAATCCGCCAATGGCATCACTGATTTTGATCTGACCACCTTCCATGAAAGAGCCAGTCGACAACCCATCTTTCAGTTCTTCCTCAGCAATGGAATTACCAGGAAACAGGAAGCTCATTCTTATCAAAAACAAAATTCATTGCAAGATAGAAATCCATTCCACTTATATACAACACCACTGGTGTGCATCAAAGTTTACAACATCATTCTCCTATACAAAAGGAGATACAAAAAAGACTTGGAATTATTGTTACAACAAGGAGGGAGTGATCACCAATGAGCTTGAAGCT